GAATGCCGAATTTTTTTTCGAAAAGTAATGGCAGAGGTGAAGGGGTAAAAGGGAGGTACCTCTTTTGTGAGTCAGTTTAGCAAAAGAGAGGAAATGGTGAGGTGACATTAAATCGTTCCTAGAAATATATTCTGAGTACTAAAGGGGCATGTTGGTACCCTCGAAGAACTGGGGCTCCCAGTTCTTACTTAGTAAACCTTCTGGTTGTACCTTAGGGCAACGTCCTTAATGTTTTTATATTTACTTTCTATTGATAGGAACTTCTTAAGGTCGTGGTGCCCTTGGATTCCCATTAAGGTGGATGACGGAAAGTTCTTTGATATTTACTTAGTGTGCACAGCATACCAGGAACCTTACAACAGATACACGGAGCACGCCGGCCTCTAGCTGGGCCTGACTAGGGAAGCCTTCCTGTAGGCTAATTCTCTGCTGGTTCCAACTTCTGGAGTTCCTAGGGTTATAACTTTCTTCAGCCAACATCTAGATTATTGGCTATGGAAGTGTGTTTATACAATACAGGCTGAATCAGTTACACATTGAATAAGGTACACTTTGCTTATTGGAATATCCTTGGAACAATTTAATTTTATTTTGCCCAAAAAGAAACTTGCTCAGACACATTTCTCTCTGATCCAAACCTCTTACCCCCTCTCTGTTGTTGTAAACCCTCTATTATAAACCCTCTCTGGGGAAATTCTGCATTTTGTTTTGAAGGTATTTTTTCTTCTAGATATGGCAACATCTGGGAATATGACATCGGAAACAAGCAGCAAAATTTGAATCTATATATGGCTACTCACACATCGTGTGTCTCCTAAGGCAGGATTTTCTAGTTAAATCTCTATCTAACTAAGACAATAATATCAAGTATAGAGCTAGTTTAGCCAAACAAGAAAAATAAGAATGGAAGCAGTGCTCAGGATATGGGAATACTTAAAATTTTGTGGAGACAAAATGAAAATCTAATGGTGTGTTAGCTGGGAGTTTTAGTTTCCTGGGAGTTTTAGTTATTCATGAATCCCAGGGGGACAACCTGTGACATGCTAAGTAGCCTCTAAAGGGGTTATGGTCCAGATTAAAAATATTTTCTTTTTGCCAGAGCTTTAGTGGTCTTCATATTTTATACCTTTTTTTATTATTAAATTTTTATACTGTAAAAGAATTTAGTATAACGGTAACATTCATTTCAGGCAAGATTTAGTCACATGTCACAAATACTATGAAACATACAACATTAGAAATTTAAGTTCTTCTTAAAACAATCACTGTTGAATACCAACTAAGGGCCTAATCCATGTGCTATCAATCATTCTAGCAACTTGTGTAAGTAAATACTTAATTGCAGAAAAAAAAGTGTAAGTAAATACTTAATTGCAGAAAAAAAACAAAAACAGGGAGAAGGGAGAATTCCCAGCATATGGAGTGGGAGGCAGTGCTACAGTGTGAAAGTCTAACGTTCCCTCCATACTTTCCTAGCCCCCACCCTGTCATATGTCTGATGCAGGAAACTCCTCTATAATATCTAGGACAGAGGCTCATTCAGCTTCTCCTTACATAGTCTCAGGGTCAGGGAGCTCAGTATCTGAAAAGTCAGCTCATAACTTATTTGCATGGCTCTAGCTGTTAGAGAGTTCAAACGATGAGCCCTCAATTCTCTGCTTTAAGTCACCATACTCTTTGCCAAGGCAAGCTGTTATTTTATGCTGTCAGATTTTATGAACACACGTACATAGTTCACACAAAGCATCTTCTGTGGACTGTTAGTATTTTAGTAGAATTGTGATATAACAAGGAGTCATATAGCAACATTACACAAGAAACGTCTTACCTGTTTTGTTAACATCTCCTTCTCTTGCTCTGATAAAATGCCCTCAGGTGATCCTGGGGACATACTATAGTTGGGCAGATTGGCATGGAGAAAAATCAGATAGGACTTTATTGGAAGTCACTCATTCAACCCTGAATTTCATCTTCAACTTCCATTTGGCTCCTCTTGTTGATGGTAAGGAAAAAGGCCATACCTAGGTTTCAAGTAAGGGTATATCTGAGAGGAGGGCTGGGAGAATAGTTGGTCACTCAGTTACAGCTGTCACTGGCCATGCTGTGTCCTCCTCACTACTGAGAAAATGGGAGCAAGAGCAGCACACTATCACTTTTACTTAGAAAGCCACTTATATAATCATATAATCCGGAGCTGGAAGACCAGCCCCAATATTTTACAGATAGGAAAATAGATTTAATAGTCTTTGACAGAATATCTACCAGACTTGCAAACTTAAATGACTATAGGACCAAAGAAGAAACACAGATGAATGAAGTGGGCAAGGCACAAGATGTAAATAGCCCTTTTTCAAAGAACACAATAGGGAGTGCTGAGGACTAGGGAAAACTGGAGGACTCACGCCCAATCTAAAAGAGGCAGCTGATTCTCAACTCTAATGGGTTACTACTATGAAGGAATGTAGACCCAGTGCTGCCAGAAATCTGAATTTTTATGCGAATGATCCTAAATGATTAACTGTTCAAACCGAAAGCACTTTGTGGACTAACATAGTGCAGGCCAACCGAAACAAGCCTGAGAGCCAAATTCTGTTTGCAGATGCTGGTGTACGGCTTGGGGAGCTAGTGGGTAGCTCGTGTCCTGAGTAAGGGCATTAAAGAGTCGGACTGTGAGCGGATCCAGATGGTTTTCGGCAGTTGGCCTTTGCCCATTCCTCCCCCTTCTCTAGAATAGATTGCATTAAGCTTTGTGTCGACCCTAGAGAAATGCCTGGTTGTTCTCTGAGATCGATTGACCTTATCAGGGTGCAAAGTAAGAAGCCAGCTGAGACTGGGAGAGTAGGGGAATGAACCCAGAATCAGCAGTAAAACAATAGGAACACAGGAGACCACAGAAAGGTCAAGCACATTTAAAGATATGTCTAAATTTCTCTTGTTGCATTTTTTTTTCTTTTTCCTAAAAAAGCCCTTTTCTTAGTGCATCTTGCAAGTACCATCTTCAACCAAGAGTGTAGTTAATGGATTTGCAATCAGTTCTCTTTAGTCTTCTGGAACACGATAACTGGTAGTTACCTTTAATTTCAACTGACATGTGCACTTCAGGGGATCAGATGGGAAAAGTGCCTGACAGGAACACAGGGGAAGTTCAGTCCTGATTGGAAAGGAATGATTTATGCCAATCGATGCCGAAATGCAGCATGTTTCTATTTAAGAGGACCTGCTAGAGGAATGCAGCTTTTGTGCCTCTCCTCATTTATCACGGTGTTTACAAATCTTGTTTGAAGTTGAAAGTAAATCATCATCCTGCTGCTTGTGGCTGTTTTACAGCTAAGAGTTTTAGAGGTGATGGAGCATGAGTCTATCAATGGAGTCATGTGGCAGAGTGAAGGGAAAGGGGCCTGTGGAGAGGCACCCATGGTATGTATGACACTTAATGTAGGAAAGGGGCCAATGGCCAAGTCCTGAAAGAGGGTGAGCACTTCTTCGAAATAATTATTGTCCCAGTTGAATGGTATCGCTACATAAAGTACAGAACTAACTGGGATTTGGAGTTTTGATCAGATGATAGCATCAAAAAACAGTCTGGTCCCTCAGTTTCAAGGTCATATATAAAATGTGAGTGGTGCATCAAATAAGGAAGATAAGGCCTTCACCTCATGGAACCTCCTGTTAATCGAATTCTCAGGCTTCATGGTCATCACATCTGGGCATATTTATTGTAGAGTAGAGAAGACTCAGAAGGGTTGTGTCTCCCTTTCAGTATGTCAAAGATCATGATATGAAAGCAGGATTAGACACCAGAGGACAGGTAGAGGCTAAAGGGGGCAGAAATCAGATTTGACATTAGAAAGAATTTTCTAATAATTAGAGTTGTTTGCAAATAGAAGAGGCCTTGAGTCCGGGCTGAGCAATGGCGTGGAAGTGATGTTCTAAAAGATCCAGTCATCCTATGGGGCTGAGGAAGTTTCCATTCTACTCTAACCTTGAGATTCTGTGATTCTAATGATCTGGTTTGGAATCCTGAAAGGACCAACCCTCCTGCATTTCCTGCTTCCTGGATTATAAACCATGTTCTAAAACCAATAATTCAGCTTTTTTATCTACCAGTTGGGGTTCCCTCATACAGAAATCAATATATGACTAATATCGAAGTTAAATAGGAAATATAAGCAATATGAAATGTGAGGAAATCTCAGAAGTCAAAGTTAAGTGAATACATATTTAAAAATCATGTTACTTCCTAGTTAAAAGCTGGATCAGATTGATTTGTGTTTTATCTAAATAAATACAACTAGTGGTTAAAATCCCAGACTCTGGAGCCAGATTGCCTGTGTTTAAGTCCTAGTTCTGTCTTAGAGTAGACCTTGAGAAAATCATTTAAGCTTTTAGTGTCTCTGTTTCGTCATCTATGAAATGGAGTTAATGATAGTACCCACCTCACAAAATTTGTGGGAAGAGAGCATATAAAACATTTAGATCTGAGCATGGCGCAGAGTATGCGATCAACTGTGCCAGCTGCCACTGCTGATGTTATTGTTACATAGCAAAATGATAGGCTGTGTTTCAGAGCTGACATGATAGACTCCATTTTACTTTTTTCCCTCAGGAATTTATTCCAATAATAGCCCATTTGGTGTTTGAATGGTATATAAATATTTTAACTGAATGTTTTCTTGTTCAAGCTGGTGATATTATGAAGACTTTTTGTCAGAATGATGATACATTTAATAAAAAGATTAAAAGAAGTTTGTTATCTAAGGAAATTTACCTTTGACTAGTCAGGTATTTTTCAGACTTCAACCTTATAGACCCGTATTAATATGTTTGACTACTTAACAGCATTACAGAAATGTGATTGAGCCAGTTAAGGATCTTTCGTTTGCTAATTATCAAAGAATTTGGTTCTCTAAGATGTAGTCTCAGCTCTTATGGTACATTCTGAGTTACAGAAATTGGCCCACATTTATTATATTTTTTTTTTAAACCAGGAATTAACACATAGAATCTTAATTAAAATATGATAGCTAAATATAAGATACCTGGGTAATCCGAAAGAATGCTAATTATTTAGCACTAAAATATGAACTGTTAGAATGGCAATTTGAAGCTAATAAACACATGTGTTTATATACATACATTGTATTTTGCATGTATATACATATTTGTATACATGTATATTTTATTACCCTATCCTCAAATATATCTTCACAGTAGTATAATTAGAGCTGAATTTAGGAACCAGATGTTGGAAAGCATGGAAAGTTGATTGTCACGAACACAAATGTTACACATAAGCAGTTACTAAGTTAAAAGAAGGTTTATGCAATGGACATTCATTCCTCAAATATTTTTTGATTCTCTACAATATGCAGGGCTACCTGTTTATCAATAATACTGATATGAGGACTTAATTCTTTAAAATCTTTTAACTTTGTATTTGAAAATAGTTTCAAAATTTTAAGAAAGTTGTAAGAATAAGAATCGTTCGCAGAACACACATGCATCCTTTACCCAGATGCCTTTCTACCCTCTTTGCTTTATCACATGTGCTATCGAGCTATAATATTTTTTGAACCACTGAAGGGTAAACTACAGCATGGTCCTTTTATTTCCAAATATTTCAGTGTGTATTTCCTAAGAATAAGGATATTCTCTTTCATAACTATAGTACAATTATCGACTCTAGTAATTTGAACATGGATACTTTACTGTCTGTACTTCCATTTTATCAACTGACACAATTATTTTCTTTATAGCATATTTCTTCCTTCCAGTACAAGAGCCAGTCCTGGGCTAGGCAATTAATTATGTCTTTTTAGCCTCTTTTAACATGGGACATGTTGGCGGGGGAGGGGCGGGGGCGGGCATTGGGAAGCAGCAGCCAGATTTGGCAACTGAGAGGGAGCAGTTTGGACAACCACGAACTCCAAAGCCTGACTGCAGGGGGTTAAGAAATGTAAGTGGAAAAGGCGGCAGAGGCTGAGAGGGCATAGGGATCACTGGATATGTCCAGCTGTATAGGCAGTGAGAAGATGGGATGCGGGGTCACCAGGCACCCCAGTTGCGAGGGGCCCCACGACTGTCTTCTTGCATAACTCTCGGTCTTTCATCCTAGTGTGGAGGTATTTCTCCACTCTATAATGAATCTTTTAAATCATTCAACAGTCACTTCTACCCCAGAAATAGACAAAAGAATGAAAGGGCACTTTTTCCTGGGTCAGCCCTCAAGCTTCATAGCTGAGGTTCTGCCAGAGATGGCACCTTATCAGCACTACTGTGTGATCCGAAGGAACTAGGATGACTCAAATTAAATTCCTCAAGCATTTAGCCCTCAAGAGGGAATGCAAAAACACAAAGCAGCACCTCAGAATGGAAAGAGTACAGAAAAGTGAAGCTGACTTCAGTAGGATTTTTGTGGTTTTCTTCTTTGTTTTTCCATTTTCATCTCCAAGAGCCTCTTATTGCCAAATACTTTTTTTAAAGCCTCCTATCAATCAGAGGCAGAGTTTTGGCAGTGTTGAGAGCCTCACGCTCGGCCAACACCGTCCGTCACCAGGAAGTTATGCCCTACAGGTGCCACACAGGTGATCTGACTTGCAGGTGTGGGCACCAGAGGACGTTAGACAATGCTTCCAAAGGCTCACTTTGGACAAGCCAAACTGGCTTACACTAAATACAATAAAACACAGTACGAGGAAGCATTGCTAATAACAATTATTTTTATACACTTTCCTGATCCCCAAGCCACCACCTTTGCATTAAAACAAACTTGAGACATTGAGCCTTGAAGGTTATTTATTTATTTGTATAAGTGAAGCTTTATTTTCTCGCCTCCATTCTTTCTTTTTCCTCCCATCTTAGATGGGATATAGGTCCCAGTTGCCTAAACAATATATTACAGTGTTTTGTTTAGGTCTGATATAATATGGATCTCCTTACTTTTTTTTTTAATATCCTATTTAGTTTGGAGCAACTGTAGACTGAAGAATTTTCATAGGGGCGCTCCTGTATTTGATGTCAAAATTTTATGCTTTTTACCCCCTAAAAGTTTCTTCTTTGTGAATTTGTAGTTTAGAGGATAACTACATCAGAATGAATTCATCTAGTACAAGACCAGTTTTCAGAACTGCAGTTCCTGTGCTCACTCTCTTTTCCTGGAGTCGGTTCTTACCCAAATGTCAATAAAATGGCAGCTCTCAGCAAGGGAACATTCTTGATTCCTGAGACAGGGAACTAAGCCAGGCACTTGTACATTTGTTTTCAAATGAACTGGTTCTTATGTTGTAAATATTTAACTATACACCATAGTATTCCTACCAAAGTTTCCACTAGGTTTTCAGCTAATTCCATTTCCCACAGGCAGAAAGGATCTCTCGCTTTCCAGAACCCTCTTTAAGCAAATATAGACTATATTCCAGGGAGTTTGATTTGAGAAGAAACAAATAATGGGATCTAGAAGGCATATTTTTCCCTTGGTTGAGAACTAAATCTGCCAACAAGGGATGATGGACGTAATCGTAAATCTTATTATTGGTTCTGAATGTTTTTATCATTTCCTATGCTGTCTTTGCTAAAATTGTGGGTAGTGATAGCTAAAAGGAAAGGGGTTTTTTCCTTCTCAGTTTGTGGTTTTGAGAATCAGACGGAGGGACATTAGCTATTAAAGCTTCTGAAGAGAGCCAGGTGATCTTATCTCTATAATGAAGTTGACTTGAGTCAGCTTTCCTCTAACCTCTGCGTTGTCTGGGTTCTTGAACATTCAGTTCTCACTGGCATTTGCTTTCTGGACAGAAGATTTTGATTTACAACGCAGCTCTGTTTACTCTTTTAATGATATATTTGTTTATTTTAAAGGATAGAGCTCTTCGTAAGACATATTTTATGCTTTGGACATATTTTGTGATTCTTCTTTTAAATGTGGGATATTTTGCCTTCAGGAAATGGTTTGTGGTTTTTGCTTTTCCTTTCCTTTTCTTTTCTTTTTCCTTCCTGCCTTCCTTCCTTCCTTCCTTCTTCCCTCCCTTCTTACTTCCCTTCCTCCCTCCCTATAACATGTATTTCCTGTTGTCCCAAAACTGTGGACAGCAAGGCAAGAAGTCAACCAAAGTCCGAATGTCTAAGCTTATCACTCAGTATGCCACCTTTCAGAGTGTCTGATGGCACTTGGACCACCAAAGATTGCTAAGGTCAAAGACCATATGTATGAGTCAAATTGGAAACTACCTGGCAGAGCCAGTCTGTCTGCCTGGTCACTTAGCAGTTTAGAAAACTTGACTCCTAACTAGAAAGCTAATTGCCAGGGGCCCAAGGAAAGCACTGGGCTCCTGCTCAGAAACCTTCATTTACTCTGGGCCCAAATGATGACCTGGGTCTTTTCAAGAGTTAGCAAGAGCATTCTATGTTTTACTCATCTAATTCACACAAATGTTTCTTTTAAGAATGATAATACTTTAAAAATTATTATTTAGTTGAATATTTCTTTTAAAAAGTCCCCTCTTTTCTGATATCTAACAAACCTGGTAGAGCTACTTTCTTTCAATATTAATTATTACTCTTCAAAATCTTTTTTCTGCTTCTTTCCTGTTGAGCTTCAGATTTGCATGAAACACCAAAAATTTTTTTTTGCAGGGTGAGCTGAGAGTATGGAACTGAACGAATGCTCTTGGAATTTGAAATAAGAGACCTTAGGAGGGGCGAAAAAAGAGCAAATAAATTTCCTGCACCCTCAGATGTACTGTAACTGAGAACTCTATGTTTTCTTTCTAAATCATTCAGTGGAGAGAGTTTTAGTCCAGTTATAAAAACCTCGTTTAGTTTTGTTTTTAATCCCCAGCATGTTAGTATTTGCAATTTATGTACATAGATTTTAAATTTAGGTTATTTCAATTTTTCTAACCAAATATTTTTAATACATCTATTAATGTTGGAAAGAAATAGATATTCTAAAAGAGTTACTCAGTATTTTTAACACATAAATGAAATTATCACAGAACCTTCACTTCACCTTTCCCCTTTATTTCTCATTAGAATGCCAGAGTGAAAAAACACGATTGTAGTCATGCTTGGCATTCAGACATTTCAGCGCACTGTGCTTCTGTCCTCTCGTCTGGGGCCACCTCTCTGTGATCACTGTTTTGTGCTTGCTGATGATAGGGGTTTTCTTCTGGATGCTGTGCCTGCCCTTGGTCTTGTGGCTTTGAAACTGAAGCACTTTGTCTGCAAAAGACAGTATATTACAGCTCCAGGGTTCACCCAGCTAGCTGCCTGCTTTGCTGCTGTAACTTCATTCTTGGGAAGTTTCTGAGTTTCCTGGGAGATGAAGCAGGAGCAACATTTGATCCAGCCTGAGCAATTTCGGAAGGCCTTGAGTCCTGTTTTGTTATTCAGCTTTCCAAGAGTGGGTGTGGGGCATGAGAATGCCCAGCCAGGGCAATTACTACTACATGTCACAAATTGGTACCTTTTGGCCCTCCTCTGCTACGATTAATTTTATAAAGAGTGATTATTGTGGTGTTTTTAAAGTTGGGGCCTTCTTGCAAAACCCAAACAGAAATTAGAATGAAATGTTTGAAATGAATCGGTTTGTTAAAGCATATCTGAACTAAGATGGAGTGTGTATTTTGCATATTTCAGAACTGCCTCTGGTTCTTTTTGGATTTCACGATAATATTGAATATAAGAAAGATTGTTTGAATTAAAGCCAAATGAGACTTGCCAAATTTACAAAAATGTTTGAGGCAGTGTGTAATGGTTTTTAATATTTTTCTGAGTTAAAAAGAATAGCATTTGATTTATCATTTTTACCTTTATGATATGTTGTCCTTCATTAGGCTAATTGCAGTGATATTACAGGTACCCTTGAATTGTATAAGGAGAGTAGAAATATTTTAACGTCAGACTCCTAGTTTATTCAGTGCTTTGGGGATGCATGCAGTCCCATATTAAATGAGATGATCAGCCAAATCTCTGCCTCCCTAGGAGGCCCAAATAATTTCCAGACTATAATGCCAGTATGCTTACAGTTTCAGATTCATCAGCCCTAAAGTAAATTCTAACAGGTGCTATCCAACATTTGGTTTAAAATTTCCTGATGAAAACTATAGGTCTTAAATGTTTTGTTTTCGAAATTTTACTTAGCTACTTAGTTATGCAACTATACCAGAATGAAATATGAGAACATTCTTCTTTTGGGGATATGAGACAAATCTTTCCATTTTCAACATAATCATGCCACCCTCCCCCTCCCTCCCTCCTGCCCTCCCTTCTCTCTTCTTCTACCTCTCTCTCTCTCTGCCCTCCACCCCGAATTCCCTCCCTCACCCTCTATCTATACTTTCTTGAATTACTTAAAGCCCTAATTATTCCACATTGTCTTCAAGATAAAGTCAAGATTTGTACACAATGCAAGGATTTTCTCTCCAGTCCTATACCTGACCAGGGCCTGCTTCCTCTCCTCCTCACTCCAATCACTTGAGCCTCTTCCAGTGTCTTAGCACACCATGCTTTCTCGCCTCCTCCTGCCTTGGCACTTGTTACGTCTTTAGAATGCTTGTCTTCCTCTCCCTAAAGGCTGGTGATTATTTTCATAATATTATATCTCTGTTTACCCCTATAACCAACCGTATCCATTGTAAACTTACTTGTCTTCCTCTTTAGACTCTAAGCAACTGTGCCCTGGGGTGTTTTGAAACTCTGCAGGAGTCAGTTCTTTATGGTTTGAGGATAGAGATGTGTTAGTTATATAGATCTCAAATTGAAACACAAAAGAGTTGTGATGAGGAAGCACTTAGGGCTGTTTCTTCAGGCTAACCCCGAATCATGGAACATGCAT